CCCGCATGCGGCATTCCCACCAAAATCAGAGGAAGAGCAGTAGAAAGTAGCAGAAAAAACATCTTCTTGCCGCATAAAAAATTCAGTTGTGGAGAGAAAAGGCCCTGGAGGGGAAAAAAAAAAAAAATTTGCTGTCTGGAAATTTGGGGTGGAATCTACTTAAGAGCAGTGGAGCGGCTCAGGTCCGGCCGTGAGCCCCATGTCTGCGGCAGGATCGCACAGCTGGGGGCTGGCGCGCAGCCGTGCCGACGCACAATTCTGGGATTCAGAGCTGAATTCTTGAGATAAGTCTTTTTCAGGAATGTCTGACAGCGCGAACGAAGCAAAGATTGCAACATTTTTTCCATAGTTCTCGGGCTCTTGAAAAAAAAAAAAGTGATTATCTAACAAGCAAGGGCAAAAACCAAAGCAACAAGCAGGCAGTTGTAAAAGCCAAAGAAGTGGGCATCCATCCCCGACCCAGCGCTTCCGCCTCCCTCCCCACGCTTGCTCCCATCAGGACCGCTCAGGCCTCACATACACAGGGGGTTCAAGCCGTGCCAGGAGGAATTTGGGAGGTGGGAGCTCAGTCTCCATGGAGGCCAGCTCCATCCTGTGCCCCAGGTCTGATAATGTCCCGGGAAGCCACGGTCCAACAGTCGTCCTGCGGTCAACCCTGGGGTTGTTTTGCTGCTCATTCCATCCCCACGGGGTGATCTGTGAGGTTAGGAGCACAGCTCCAAACCTGCCCCAGTGTTAAACACAAGCAAATCTTGCTGGCATCTGGTTTTAGCAAGTTCAGCTTCTTGTTGGGCATCCACGTAACCGTCATCTCAACAGAAGGGTCCCTGCACAGCAGCACAGCAGGCGAGAGGAGGCTTCATCCATCCTCACCGTGCTGAGACCAAGGGAAGCATCGCAGCACAACAAACCCACCACCGCAGTGCTATGGCAAACCCCCCTAAAGCCCCCATCCGTGCTGAAGACGCAAGACCCAGCCCTACCTAATTCCACGTATTCCAAGTACCGAGTACCACTCCTTTTCAAAAAGAGAGGAGAAACAACGGCACTACAGCGGCCACTGCGAGGGCCAGAAGAAGAACTGCCTCTAGGTAAAGATCAAGTTCTGAACAAAATTCCCTAACGAGGATTTCTCAGCCCAGAGCAGACCTTGGCACTCCGCGATTAACTGTTAAGCACAGTCCTTGGCACAGGCACAGAGAAACAAATTCTTACGCCTTTCCACAACCCAGCATAGCATGCACAGCCTGGGTTTAGAAAGAGCTTGAAATGAGAACGGTTTGCGGTATTTGGTATAGGATTTTCCGTATTTTTGAAAGTAAGCGTATTCCTAGCAAAGAGAGTTTGAGGAGCGTAACAAGGACCAGGCGGGGGACGAGCGTGAGCCTCGGAGTTGGCCCTGCCACGGCATCCTTTCCCCACGTCCCCGCTATCTCTCCGAAGAGCGGCCGACCGCAGCCCCCCGGCACGGGGGCAGTGGGACCAAGGGGCTCGGAGACGGGCAGTGGGGAGGGAGGGGTGCAGGGAGCCACTGTGAAGGATGCTGCGTGCTATTTTTATTCTGCTTTTACTAACAGATTTCAAAAACCTTGCGTAAGCCTAGGAAATATCTTTTAATTTTGTATTCCTACACCACCGGTGAGCTCTGGACTCTGCACCCGGGGTCCCACCAGATGAAGACTGGTCCTCAGCAGCACTGCTCCCACACCCCTGCCGCGGGGTGGATGGGGCAGAAGCTTTTGCCCAAGCAAAATCTCCTTTTCCTGATGCCAGATTAGAGCCTTCATATGAGTAAGAACCAGAAGGGAGCTCTAAGACTTGAGCACGATGCACCTCTACTCAAAGAGCAGCCCTCCGAGGCACCTTATCAACCAATCTCAGCTGCCTGGGCGTGTTTTTAGCTGGGTTATAGCCTTTTTAATCATCAAAATTCATCACTGAAAGGATCCAGAGGGAAGCCCCTCTTTGAGCAGCTTCTAGGAACAGGGCAATATGGACTGGCAACACCCAGCAGGACAGTCAGACGTGGAAGAAACCAGCCCAACCGCGTTTTGGACAAGCCCTTCTCAACAGTAACAACTCCCCGACACGCAGCATCCCACAAACACCCAGAAAAAGTGGTGCAGGTTTGAAAAGCAAAAGATTTGGGGGAAGCTTTACAGCCCTCGGCTCTGGGACTCCGGGGGGGAGCAAGCTCTGCCTTTTATTTCAAAGCGTAAGGTCAGCAGTTTTGGAGCACGCGTGAATGGCGGTGAAGCAGCCTGCCTACGCTGCAGAGAGCCGGCACCAGCCAACTGCTGATGAAGGACACGGCTCCAGAAGGCTCCTCGGCTGGGACAGGGTCCAGCAGCTTCCCGGCCGGCCCGGGCACCACCAAGCGGCAGCAAAGACCGCACCACCAGGCGTCAGCAAAGACCGCGGCGGTGGCTCCGCTCCCACCAAAACCAGAGCCTGGGCCCAAGCGGGGAAACACTCCGCCGCTTTCAGCCTGGGGAAAGATAAGGGGGTTTTGCTCCCAACAGGCTGGGCATTAGGGTGACCTGAATCTCCAAAAACCTCTGCCAGTCTCCCATCCCCACAAGACCCTTTGAAAGCATTTAGCGCTCTCCACTGCTCCGCTCCTGCCTTGCTGAGGCCACATGGCATCGGTTTGCTCCTACGCCAGGACCATGTTTCCAGCGTAGCGTGACTGCGCTCCCAGTGACATCGGTACGATTCACAACTGGTTTCACTGGGGGTTACACTGGGAGAATCGCTTTCCAGGGGAAAGCAAAAACCCAAGCTAACCAAAGACAAATGCTGGACGCAGCAGCACTGGCATTAGCCCTGGGGAAACTGAGGCACGGGCTCGCCTGACTCCCTGAGCAGAGATTCTGTGTTATTGACACCACTAGGTGCCCTGGAAACTCTGCGTCATGGTGTCTTAGCAAGCACTCCTCCCCTGCTGACCTCAGCGAAAAGCTCACTGGGTGACGTCACCCAGCATGACAACAGCCTTCACCCAGCTTAGTCCAGAGGTGGCTCTTCAGCCACCCCAGATGTGCAGGTGCTGGGGGGCCGTTTCAGCAGCGGGATGCGGCAGGGCCGGAGGGCTCAGCACATCCCACACACGGTGTTCGGTGGCAAACCACAGGGCGAGGAGCGTGCCCAAAAACTCAGCCTGTCACAGCAGCAAAAACCAGGGCAGCTTTCTTAGATAGGGGACAGGCTGTCCTCAGGGCACCTCGTGCGTCCTTAAAAGACTCTCACAACCAGAACAAGAGGGAGGCACGCCGAAAACAGCCCCCCTCTTAGGAAACATCCCTTGATTTCCTAAGTCCAGGGAGGAGAATAAAAGCGAGGGGCAGCAACAGCCCTGATTGCCGGGGAGCACTCACCGTTCGTGGACGATGTCAGGCAGTGGAAGACGCTACCGGAGGTGCAGTTTTGCCAGAGGTCCGCCGTGTGCCCGCCGTTCACCAGCCATTGCTGCAAGAGAGACGCGGCCCCGTGAGCGGGGAGGTGGCAGGCAGCCGTGTTGCCCCCGCAAGGCTTCGGTGCTGAGCAGCCCCAGTGCCTACCGGCACGCGTGAGCCTGGCCGGGCGCGCCCAGGCACGTGCTTTTCTTTAGAAAGGGGTTTGGAAAGTAAATACTGATATTTGCTTTTAGTTGCTTTCCCCTCAACGGCAGAAAAACAGAAGCTCTTTATTCTCTTTAAACACGGACCAAGTCCCACGGGGGGACGCACACTTCCCTCCCCTCTGCCGTCCTCGCCTGGTGCCTGGCCGGGCTATTTGAATGCTTCCACGTGATTTCTAACGCCTCGGAAGATTTTTGTAACATCTTCTACTACTATTACCATCCAAAAAAAAAAAAAAAAAAAAGAAAAGAAAAAAGAAGGGAAAGAAGAACCTGGTGAAGGTTCTAAAGTTCTAAAAACCTAGAATCCTCCAGCTCCACAAGACTGCTGCCTTAAAACCAAGTCAAACCTCTTCCTAAGTAGATGACATGTTAACTGGGCTCTGGACCGAGAACAGTGCTGGGAACCCTCTGTACAGGATCCAACCCTCAATCTTCCCACTGCTTGCAAAGCTTAAGCCTTGAAAAAAGTCACCAGCAGGAGCTCGTCTGGGTTAGGAGATGGAGGCTGTGTCTAATTCTGTGAGGAACAGAGGTGGAGAGCAAAACTGCTGGTGCTGAGGTGCCAGTGCCCAAACCAGTCCCGTTTCAAGGGGTTTTGCTCAGACTGGCTGTACTGGTCCTGCGGCTGAAGCCCGTTAGCAGATGGAGCTGCTTTCGGAAAGGGGAGTGCAGTGTCACCCCCCAGAGTCGGGTGCTCCGAGGCTGCCCCATGACGTGAGCCAGCGTGGGGACGATGAGATGGCCTCAACAGCCGTCTCCTCCAT